GACTGTTTTCGAAAGATGGTCAGCACATTACGAAAAACTAGCTACAGCTCTCGAAATTCAAGAGTCAGGAAACAAGATTTTCTTTCATGATTTTTACATTCATTTAGGTAGCATTACACGTAGAATCACAAGTGAGTGACAACTCGGAGGCACAGGTCGCGATTGAAGTGAGGCATGTTCCTCTTGCAAATGAAACAAGAGGTGCGAAAAGGACCGTCAGTAAGTGAAGAAACGGAAAAGAAATCACAGAAAACAGCGAAATAAAGACATTTTTGTGAGGTCGGCCGTAATACGACGGAAAAGCATAGCGTTGCGAGGCGAGGGAATACACGATTTTCCATGTCCTACGAGAAGGCTCAGACCTGCTTACACAGCGGACAAGTTAGAATGGCAGCGATCGCAGCGGTCGAGACAATGCCTCAGCAAGTTGTCAGGCACTTTTAAATCCCGTCAAATGCGCAGCGGTTTAGGTCCACTTCTGTTCATCATGACCGTGCTAACTTACCCAAGGGGTGGATTGCGCTAATTTCTTATAGCGATCACGCGTCGCGTTGGGATAATCCATTTGAGCTTCACGAATCTTTTTCTATTTTTTCTCTATTAAAGGATAAAGGATAAAGCATTTGCCGTTGATCAATCCCTTTTTGGGATGCGGCACGCATTCTACTTCCATTTGTACATTCGCAGTGGCTTTGAATGCGATGTGGCCTATACAATGACTTGCGGGGGCCAGCCGATGTTCAAGTCAGTGTTTTTATCCTCCCAGACAAGTCTGGTACCAATTAACCGACCCCGGAGGGATGGAAGGCTTGGTTGGCCCGGGCGACTCACGACCCAGGATTTGATCCCCGGACCGCTCGCGTGGTAAGCGCGCCACTTGCCACTACACCACTTCCGCCCTCATTTTGGCTGTTTTAATTTTCTATTAAATGTGGGAAATGATTCGCCAGCCACAAAGCACCTTAGCATGGACGATTGGTGGTACATGGGTCAGTTCAAACTCCAGCAATATAGTGAGGGCAAACATTATTCGGACATGGGTATTGAAAAATATCGATAGTAGTTGTTAGTTCGAGCGATTTATTTATTTAATTATTTATTTTTCTACGTCCAGTGGACGCGCTTTGTGGGTATACATATTAGGCATTATATAGAAATACTATTAGCAACTGAGAGACAGCAGTTGTACTCATTCTAGTCACATAATTGTTTAGGAGACTACGGTATATCAATCAATACTTACTGTAGAATATATTGCCATCGTGTAGTCTTAGAGTCGTGAATTCTCTCGAGATTCTGCTCAGGAAATCATCGGGCGTACAGTAAATAAATCAAAATTTCTATTTGACATATTGATTTTTTGACGTACCTTGCTAAGAAATCGTGGTGGTTCGATGGATCTTAATGAAGCGGCGGCTGATATCAAAGAGACCACCGTGTGTAGACCAAAAACGATAATCAATAGGCGACATCGCATCGATGGCAGCGTTCGGTGCTGCGACGGCGGCTCCGCGACGCCAATTCGATGTGATTCGTTTGAGCACTGATAAGATCACCGGCGCCATCGGCGTGTTACGTGGGTGTTCATGTGATGCGAGACGAATAGGTACCCATTTCCCATAGAAATGGTTATTGGCAAAATGGACTGGCTGGTAGTTCGCGTTTCACCTTTCTAACGCGCTGCTGGACGAATTAGTTCTTCAGTTCCGAATTCCGATTTCCGACGAATAGCACTGTACAGAGCCACGTCATATTGGCAGACTAAAGGATTTCTCATGAGGTATCACCGTAGGAAGACTGCCGACTGCTTTTTTTTTTCTCGTGACGAAGTTACAAAGGACATTAAAAGCAATGAAATAGTGCGATGAGGCTTTTGTATGTGCCCCAAAATATTCCCGGGTCAGTCAAAGAGCTTGAAGGTTCCTCCCATCTTCCCCCTCCAACTCCGTTTCCCGCGATTCATTTGGATGAGAGGCTCAGTTTGTTGGCGGCCTTCGACTGACTCCTAAGTGTGCACAAGGAACTCGGAGACATCAGGCATCTTACCACCGGCAACAGCCTTCTCACGGGTTACACCGCCAAAATGGCTGTTTGAGAAATCACCGGGATAATATGCGTAGGATTCACCATTTTGCTCGGGGCATCCTTCGTCTCAGCTATGGTCAGAAGCTTAGAGGAAAAGTCGTGCTATCGAGAGCAGACTTCGTTGGATAGTCCTTCAAAGCTGACTGGAATTGCCCATCTTTCTCAGTTCGCATGTGACGTCTTATACTTCAGACACGATTCATAAGTGTGACATTGTATTGCTTTTCACGAACTTTGCTTCCAAACAGTTGACACTATTGAGTCTCATCACATCGAGGACAAAATACGTGGGACCACTGCTTTCACTTGGTCTTCTGACGCAGAAAAATTTGTTTACTTACTAAAATAGTGCTGTCGAAAGCCTCATAAAGAATCTCCGAGTCGCAACAACCAGTTTTGAGGCTCAAAAAAGTTTTAACAACATACCCGACGACAAATATTTTGTCGTTCGGGTAATATTATATATTTTGGCAGAGGCGAACGCGTGTTGAGTTGGCTGACGAAGCGTGCTAAGACCGAAAATATTGCAAGTATTCGAAAAGCTTTTTATATTCAGGCTTTTTTGAAATTAGAAATTTTGAGGCCTCAACTGTTGGTTCGACATTCAGAGTTGTTTACTTACTGTTTAAAGTTTACCAAGGCCAACCTCCTCACTGAAAGTTATGATCCAAACGCCTTTAAATCTGTGGTACTTTGGGAATGGGTCGCGGGCGCGACGTCAACAGCCCATGAGAACAAATGAGCGAACCAGAAAGCTGTTTGATCACAAATGTTTTGCGACAGCATGCGATTGACGGTTTGAAGGCAGGGAATTCACGATTAGATTGGAAGGTCGAAGAAAAAGGAAAACTGACCTAGTTGAGGGACCCACGGACCTCCTGAGGGTGCGAACTGACGCGCAATTCGCATGGAAAAATTTGACCTCGGCGACCTATCATGCCTCAAAGCTGGCGGGTCCGGCGATCTCCGCCCACCGATCATCTGATCACTCGCCGTAGTTCAATACGTGGCGAGTGATTAGATAGCTGAGAGAGCGTAGTGTTGAAGAGGGCACAGCGATGAGAGTCGCATCAATGCTCGAATCAACGGGCAAGGAAGGGGTCCCATTTCTCGGGTTCTGGGCCGTTTCTCATGGTTCTTCCTTCTTTCGTGTACCACTCACCATCCCTAGGTTAATTTGAAATGGGTTGCTTTTTCATCGTGAATTCGTCCTTTAAATCAGTTGCCTCCATACTATTAAGGTCGCCCACCACCGCTCAAATACCTCATCAACACGATCTGGCGGAAGCCAGTTATTTCATTTATGGCCCACCTTACGCTACGTTCCATCGCTTGCCTTACTAAGGGTACTGGCTTCCATCTATGTCCGTAAACCAATTCCACGAATGACGTGACAGGGCTCTCAAAAACAGAATTCCTGCCACCGTCGCGACTCGAAAGGGCACGACTAGAGATTTCAGATCCTAGCTGTGACGCTTGCGATTGCTTCCATTTTAGTTGCGCCCCCCCCCCCCTCCCCCCCCCCCCCCCCCCCCCCCCTAGCTCATAGCACATATTGTGTGGTGCCCGGCTTCTGCCGGACGCGCGGCTTTTGTGCATCCCTCTTCTCGTCGCACCGGTACCGTACCTCTCCTTCCGTACCACGCATACTCACAGATAATAAGGATGTCATCAGCTAGATTTTTTGCTCATTTTCCCCACTGATGGTCCTCTGTCGAGTTTTCTATTCCATTTCAAGCACATAACCACACCAATGTACGATCGCACCAGTGCTTTGGGAAATGCAGAGCAGTTGCAGTTGCTCAATCCCGTAAATTATGTAGCGACGATGCGAATAAGTTTTGACACCTAAGGTACACTCCTTAAGCTCCTTTCACTGAGGGAGTCGTTAGGAAGGGTTGAGAAGGGTCTTTTTCACTGGCAGTTGATAATTTCTTACTTACAGTGATCAAGGGCTAAAAATGGAACATCTGGAAGCATTTTGATTGTAGGTGCAGGTGAGGCTGGTGAGGGTGGCGAGGAAGTTGTCGTATGGGAGTGCGAGCCAAAGAATCAGGCTGCAGAGTCCTGCAAGAGCGGTGTCTTGCACATCGCATTTTGATGTAATTTTATGTTAATTTAGCGCGCTGCCGTCTGGAGTTCAAGTTGCTTGGTGCGATCTGCCACTAGTAAGAATGACTCCCGCAAACTTACCTTCCTTTCTACTCTTCCTTGCCTTTCTTTAACTTCGATTTGATGAGGATTCAGTGGAGCTCAGATCTCTTGATTTGGGAAGTGCCATGCATGCTGAACTAGGCCCTACGCGCTGCTGCACCCGGACTTTTGAACACATTTCGTATTTTTAATGTTTCTAAGTGCACTTCAGAGCAACATGCCATTACGGCGTAACGCGGCCTTGTGCCGTGTCTGTTGTTTATTACATTACATTTTATTACATTGTCTATTACAAGGAAAAAAAAATGTTTTTACAAAATTTTTATTGAGGCATTCTGCTATCGTAATGTTCACGAAAAAATGAATTTTCTTTCTTATGGAACATCCCTTGCACGCCCCATTCGCCAATATTCCGATTGAAATACCACATGTGTTCCCATGATTCTGCACTTATTACAGTATTGCTACAGTAATCACCATCAGCTTCTTCACACATCGTATACGGCTGCCCAACTGCCATATTGTTGTTATACCTGGAAAAAAGTGCGTATCAAATTGTCTGGATTATTCCCAGCCATATATTAGGTCAACTCATTCAAACATGTCCAGACATCTAGAGAAATGGTGGGAAAAGTAAAAGAGCTAGAGCATTCTACTTGCTTTTGCTTTTAAGCTAGCACACCCAGCTACGGTATACTCTAATTTAGTTTATAGTGCTGCAGGAGGAAACACTTAAACACATAAAAGAATTCATAGTGACCCAAATCGAGGTGGAATTTCCAGATGACTGGTGACACACGTAAAATTCGCAACTCGAATTCTGTGTGTGCTGGCTCAACTTACGCGTGATACAGTGTTCTCGAAGTGCTACGTTGAAGATATGGTGTGAGAGCTCAAAGAAGGGAGAACGGAAGCGAGTTGTGGTTGAGGACGCGTTCCTATTGTCCACCTTCCCCAAGAAGAGCGGGTGGATGAAATGAGGTTTCAAATGGCGCATCACAGATGTTGAACCTTTGCGATGTTTGCCCACGAGACTTGCAGTCTAGCTGCACCTGTTACGCAAATTGTGCCCAAAAATTGGGGATGGTCCACAGAACATGTTTTTGGATATCCCATTTACTCCCAGATGCAGGAGTCCAGAATCGAATTGGTGTCTGTAGTAATGATTTTCTCTGCCGATAGCGGCATTTAAGACTATCAAACTGGACCCTGCTCATAAACGAAATTTGTGTGTAATTGTACGCTGAGGCCAAGTCAGAAGTGTCAACTTTGGATTAACGCGAATGAGGAACTGCCCGAATTGGATCACGAGAAGTCACGTGGGTTCACGTGGATGATTATTATGGCGATGGATTTCTGAGTGTGCCTCTTAAATGGCTCTGTCGGGAAAAAACCTCCGGCGTTTCTCAAGTTTATGGCTTGTTTCTTAGCGAACAAATTGACAAAGGAATAGCAGTATAAAACTACAATAACGATATCATCACCTATGTCGATACCAGACCCTACATAGCTCATATTGCTCACGAGTATTTCGATCAAACGGATATTGTGGCCTCTTCTTATCAGCCGTATTTTCCTAACTGCAGCCATGCGACCTCAGCTGTTTTATCGAACTGAACGCCCTACTCGTTCGGAAGCGCTACGACAATTCGTTGATCATCTATACTGACATCAAAAGCATCTTGTCTATACTTGTTGAAATGAAGAAGCTGCGCGGTGTCCAGTGTTTTCTAGACGCTGGGATCGGGTCGTTAACAACGACAAGATCTGCTTGACCACACCAAAGTATTAGCTTTTTATCTTTCCTGCTGTTCATTTTATTCGAATAAAACCGTGGACATGTTTGAATGAGATGACCTAATATTTTCCCTTTGCTTGAAAAATACATCACTTATTTATTGGAGATTCTACTCAGCAGAATTCTGCACCCTCGTCAACCATTTTTTCCATTTTGTGGTCCTCACTTTACACAACTTTTACTGCCCACGAACTGTAATTTTATAAATTGGGCGAACCGGCTCAAAGGTGCAAAAAGGCACCGCCCTTAGTACATTGTGCACGCGGACAACAGTTGTGTTAAAATGATCTCACATTTCTAGGCCACCCTCTACTGATGTCTCTACTCACTTGCCGTACACAGTTCTTTTGCTACATAGCCACAAAAAAGATTCCTCGTGACCGTTCCTTTGCCAATGATTGTAGATTTCGCCAAACAAGCTGCAATCGATAGTTACTTGTGCTGACAAAAAATTTTGATGAATTTCTTCTCATGAAAGAACGTCTTGGCGGATTGCCTCCGCAAAGTCTTCTCACTTAGAAGCACTTGGTGGGATATCAAGAAAAAACCGAGGGGAACCATAATTCATCGCAGATCTTCCTGCTGCCTGCCTACTTGAAGCCACGAGTCGGGATTAGGTAATAAGAAGTAGTCCTCCGAGCAGTGAAGAAAGAAGGTGTTTCCTGCGACGCGAGGAAAAACAACTTCTGTCTGAACTCAACAAGCGAAAGCACAACGGGGCTTAGGGCCTTGCCGTTTGCAGTGGGCCTTGCTGCCATCCGGCATCAAAACCGCGACCACACACGTCGTCGCGCCTCTTCGTGTACACGTGCTCCTCGCTGGTTTCCTCTTCTCGCAACCGCGCGCTAGCTACGTCGACTCTGGAATTTCAAGTACCTTCTATGGCACTTTTAGCTTTTCCTCCCCGGTAACGCTCCGCCTTGCACTTCACACACTTGTTTCCTTCAAACAAGGCAACACACCAACTCGATCCCAACTCGCGACTTTGATTATTAGATTAGAGCCCTCGAGTGCACACATATTTGCTGCGATTCACTTACCAAACTTCGTATCGATGATGGAACACTCTGTCAGGCCCAAGCCTTGGCGGGATATGAGGCACAGGATCACGATGGTGAATGACACGGTATGCGTAAGGGAACTGAAAACTGCGATGCTTCATCACACGTCTCAGACTGTCACAAAACAAATTGCAGAGAACGTACCGTAGCATCGTGCCAAGAAGCGAAATCGTAGTCACCAGTTCGCGGCTGTCCGAATGTGACCAGACGAACGTTCTCTGGCGCCCACATGTTCCATTTTACAAGATATGCAGCTGTGACTGATGCGATGGATGCACCCAGTGAGTGGCCCGTTATCTGCAGTATCACCAATTGTTAACAAATTCGGCTCTGTTTGGCAGGACAGGGCATAGTCGATTTTCATATAGACAGGATTCGAATCCTGGAGACTAAGTTGAAGCTAGGCACTAGACAGATTAGTGTCTCAAACAGTTTGGTCTTAAGAACTATTAGTTGCGGGGCGGCCAAACAGCTATTTTAGGCTCAGTTGGATCCTATCTCACGGACCACACAAAAGCATGTATATATCAGATTGACCAGAATGTGGTGCGGGTTTCGATGTGTCATACTTTACCAGACATGTTTCCGGGAAATTTTCTTTTGATTTCCGTATTGTTGCACATCTCTTTCATTCATTCTCCACATCATTCTCTTTCTGATAGCTACTTTTTTCGAATCAGTTTGGGTGTTTGCTTTTTCCATTGGTTAAATCGAAATGTAGAGCAGGTAACCTACTTCAAAAAATCCTTCCCGGCAGAACCATGATTCTATCTCGCCCAAAAATAATAGGCTTGAGACCCCTCGTTCACGATAAGAACGAAAAGAACAAAAAATTGCGGTAAGTAATTCGAAAAACCGAAGGGACTGCTACGCGTTCAAATTCCCGCCGGACATCTGTCACAAATGCTGGCGGCGGGAACGCTTCCACTTTGGTTCACAGAGGGCAACTAGAAACCCTTTTTGACCTTTTGACTTATTGCACTAACATCTCACACTTCTGCTGCATTCTATTCTGGACCTTAAAATGGTGAATGGTTTTTTGAGCTGTTCTTTTATATGAGCTTGGATTTCTTCTTCGTTT